AGGCTGCAGCGAGCACAGCACTAGGAGTAGGTGCTGAGCCAGGGCTTTTCTCTGGGGCTTCCCAGGCCTTTCTCTGGCTCGCTGCAGGCCAGCTGCTGCTCCTCCTTACAACCAACAACCTCCTGGTCACCAGCATGGCATCAGCAATGAAGGGGCCAGGCCTGAGCCCAGTGCCCAGCTCCTGCCACCTCCCTGGTCCACCTGGCCCCTTCTCACTGCGGTTCCAGGGGGAGCTGCCCTCAGAAAGCCTGTTGACAGATGTGGAGACAGAGGCACCGGATACAAAAGGCCACAAATTAACACCAGTTCTGCTTCATTCTACAAACTGCATCTTAGTCACCAGGCAGACTTGCCTGCCCTTTTGGTTTTAAGAGAGTAACAAGGAGTTCACCTTGAACCACCTCGCATACAGTTAACAAAACAACCATCATCAGCCCATGACCTTTATGCGAGCGGCCTGTCAATCATTCTTCTCTAAAATGCCGGGCCCTGTACCCACCGCTGCCTCTAGAACCACAAGCCTACACTTGTGAACCCAGGAGCTTCCCAGGGCTCCCTGAGTCCCTTTGGCACACAGTAGGTGATCCTAACACTTAGTTGGGTGTTTAAACACATAACTGCCCTTGACTCTCTAATCTCATTCCAAGGCCCTCCTCCCTGCCCCCACTCTTAAAGTCTCCAAGCCCTGGCCCAGCCTTGTTGAGTCCATGCCTAGCGCCATGCCTGGCATAAGTAGGTGCCAATGCTGTGGGTGGGGCAGGCCCAGCTGATTTGGGGTTTAGGCTGTGAGGTGTGGGGTGTTTGAAGGTCTGAGCTTCCCCTCACTCTGTTCTCCCCACCCGCATGCCCCTGCTTTGGGTCAGCCTCTCCTTGTCCCTATGACTCTGTCCCTGACTCAGAAGAAAAGCCAGTGAGAGTGGCTGCCTCAGTCAGCAGGGAGGGCTGGGGAGACACTCTCCGATGTGAGGGCTCAGGGGAGAGGGACCCGCCACGTCTCCAGGTCAGCGACCTCCTGAGAAACCCACTCCCCAGAGAGAGCTCCGGGGGGGGCCCAGGAGGGCAGAGAAGAGCGGATGCAAGCAGGCCGAGTCCACCCGCTCCAGGTCGCTGCAGGACAAGGGCAGTGCCTGCGGCTGTGGCTGCGGGGCTGGCGGCTCAGAGGCCAAGCAGCTCCCAGGGCCGGGCCATCAGTTAGTAATAAAGCCTCATCGCTGGCTGGGCAGGGGGAGGCATGGGGAGGCAGCCTTAGTAAAGTTATGGTTTCTGGCACCTGCATAATTTGGCAGGGGGGGTATTTAAACTACCGCATCGGGGCCCTGGCTACCCAGGTGAAGGTTTGGAATGGAAACCTCAGACGGGCTCTCAGAAACACAGCTCCCAAGCCTGGGTCTCAGGGTGCTGGAGGCCGGGGATGGTGCTAGGATCCCTGTCCGCACAGGGATGCTCCTCTCCCTGCCCTTCGCTCTCTCCCATCTCCTGCAAGTGCTCACTGGGAGCCTTTCCGCACTCAGCCACCTGGAAGTGGGGCCATCTCTCAGAGCCCAGGAGCCCCCACCCCCACCCTCAGAGGCACCCTCCCAGCTCAGCTCTCTGAGGAGCTCAGCAAAACTCCCAGCGCACTTAGGATGTGGGGTGTTTGCCCGCAGAGCTGGCGGGTGGACCAGGTGGCACAGCCAGGGGTGAGGCTGGTCCTCAAGGAGACTGCGACCCTAGGTGGCGCCTTGGCATCGCCCGTGTCTCTGCACCCCTGCCCCGGCGGAGCTTGATCCCAGAGCCCCTCCCCCCCACGCTGGCTGGGGACAGTCCTGCTTAGGGGGTGCAGCGGGGACGCAGTCCTTCCTCCGTCCCAGCGCCTCCCTGTCCCAGCGGAGACTGCCCAGCATCAGGCGGGAGAAGGAGGCCCGCGGAGCATCTGTCCAGATGTGCAGTCAGGCACACGCAGCCCTCCCTGACCGCTCGCGGACCTCAGTCCCGTCAGACGCGCACACACACTCACCAGCACCCTCCAACCCACAACCACGCAGCCGCCGCGCACACGGGTGGAACGCACACATGCCCCCCCCCCCCGAAAACGTCCGCCCTTTAGGCTTAAACTGTCTCAGAGGGCCCACGGGCGGCACAGAGGAGGCGGACAGCCTGGGTCCCGGGCAGGGCGCGCGCTCTTAGGGCTCCGCCCCCCTCACCTGGTACCCCCTCACTTGGTACCCCCTCACCTGGTAAGCCGAGGCACAGCAGGAGGCTGTAATAGACCACGGGCAGGAGGCCCAGGCCGCAGG